TCATTGGAATACAAGTTTTCAAAAAAATTCCTTGGTGACACTCTGAATTTCATTGGTATCTGTTGTAACATTCCCCTTTGCTTCTTTTCTTTCTTTTGATTAGGGTTTATCAAACTCATTTACCTTTTCGAAGAGCCAAGTCGTTGTTTCATTGATTTTTGTCTTGTTCTTTTAGACTCCACTTCATTAATTTCCACCAAGTTCTTTATAATTTCTTTCCATTTACTAATTTTGGGTTTGATTTGTTTTTCTGAGTTTGAAGTATACATCGCTGAGATTATTTATTTGAAATCTTTTTTATTTTATAATGTAGGCAATCATAGCTATAAAGTTCCCTTTATGAACTACCTTTGTTGCATTCCATAAGTTCTGGTATGTCGTATTTTCATTTCAACTTGAGTCAAGAAAATTTTGAACTTCCTTCATGATCCATCAATGACCCAATGATCAAAAGGGTATTATTTAATCTTCATGTTTTTGTATGATTTCTATAGTTTCTTTTGCTATTAATAGTACTTTTATTCCATTTTATGATCTGGTAAGACAAAAAAAACTATTTCAATATGTTGCACTTTTTAAGACTTAATTTATTGGCTAAAATGTGATCTATTTTGGAGAAAGTTTGAGGGCTAATGACAAGAATGTGTATTCTGCAGTTTTTGGAATATTCTGACTATTAAGCCCATTTGTTCTATGGTGCAGTTTTTAACTCTTAAATTTATTTAGTTTCTTTGTCTGAATGATCTATCCATTGATGAGAATTAAGTATTAAGTCTTAATACTTAATTAAGTATTAAGATCACCCACTATGATTGTATCTGAATCTATCTTTCTCATTATGACCAGGAGAGTTTGTTTCTTGAAATTAGGTGCATCAATATTTGGTGCATAAACTTCTTGATGGATTGTACCCTTTATTAATAGACAGTGCACATTAAAAAAACTGACTAATATTTGTCTTGAAGTTTATTGTGTTATACATGAGTATAGCTACTCCTGCTTTTGTGGCTTTTACTTGCATGGTGTATCATTTTCGATCATTTACTTTTCAGTCTCTGTATGGCACTGCCATATAGAGGTGTGTCTCTTGTAAATAACAAATAGTTGGGTCTTTTAATTTAATCCTCATATCCATTCTGTATCTGTTCATTCAAGAGTTAGGATCATTTACATTAGCAAATTATTATTGAGAAATGTTTACTGTTTTCTGTAACTCTTGTGGACTTTTCCAGGTTGATTCAAGTATTGCTTGATCTTTCCGCCTTATTCATTTTATGATTTTGCTGGTTCACTGATTTGAACATGTTTAATTCTTTCCTAATTCTCATATACTCTGCTGTGTGTATTCTGCTCATGAAATTTACTAGTCCTGAGCACTGTTTGTGACTGCCTTTCTGTATGTGAATGCCTCATCTGTATGTACACTTAAGTATGTTCAGGAATAAAGGCTTGGTGACATAAATTGCTTTAGCTTATGGTAATCTTGGCAGATTCTTACTTCTCCATTAAATCTGAAGGAAATCTTGATTGGTAGCTATCTTCTTTCTGAGCATGAAATACATTGTTTCATGCTTTCCTGGTTTTTGGATTCCTACTGATTTCTGAGATAGTTCTGATGCGTTTACCTTGGCAATTTTCTTTTGTAGTATTCAATATCCTTTCTTTATTCTCTATTCTTGGCATTTTAATTCAACGAAGTATATAGAAAGGTTCTTTTCTGGTAATGGCTATTGGGGTTCTAAGTGCCTTCTATATTTGAGTGTCTGTATCTTCCCAAGATTTGGGAAATTTTCCTTGAATAGATTTTCTAGGACTTTAGTTTCTATTTCTGCTCCTTATTCTACACCAAGGATTCTTAGGTCTGGTCTCTTGATTGTGTCTCAGAGTTCTTGAAGGTTGTGATCATGTTTACTATTTTTTCTCTCTTACTGTCTGAGTGTAATATTTCCTTAATCTTATCTTCAATCCCTGATATTTGTTTTTGTTTGTTCTAGACTACTGGTTATGAACTCGATTGTACTTTTTATTTGACTTACTGAACTTTTCATTTCTAACATTTTAGAAGTTTTTGTTTTGTTTTCAGAACCTCAATTTCCTTGCTAAATTTCTCAACCATAATCCTGACTTTTTCAACCAGGTCTTGATTTCTTTACTCCATTTACTTGTTTGAATTCTCTTTGAGGTCAGCTAAGTTTATCATTTTTAAAAGCAAAGTTTTAAGTTCTTTTTCTGGCATTTAAAAACAGCCCTTTCAGTCTCTGGATTCAGTTATTGAGGCACTGTGGCCTTTTGGAGGAGTCATATTGCTTTTCATATTATTTGTGTTTCTACATTGCAATTTGTGCATCTCTTAGTATCTCTTTCACTACCACTCACAGGAGAGAAAGCATTAGCAATAATGAAATCAACAATTCAAAACCAAACTGGCTATTTAAATGTATGCAAATAATTGGTAATATCAACTGCATCCCCAATATGGTTACAAAAGAACGGAATTAGGGTTTTCATAGGATAAACTAGGATTTTAAAAATTATTAAAGGTACAAGTATTAAAAACAAAGGGAGAAAGAAGACAGAGGAATGAGGGAGAAGTGTATGGGATAAAGTATTTATTTTGTGAGGACACAGCATAACTATTACAGAGAAAAACAATACAGTCAGGGAAAGAGATTTTAAAAAATAATAGGAAAAAAGTCATGACTTTTCCCTCTTATAACAGATATAACAGATGGGCTCTGTAAGCACAGCAGATGCTTTTCTCCAGTCTCTGGTCTTCAGAGTTCTGCCTGTAGCTTGTTCTCTCCATTACTGGTTCCCCTCTGGGTGCAACCTGGGTACCATGGTCAATGGTCAGCTAAGGTTCTAGGCCAGTGGCTGGGTTGGGGAAGGGCTGAATATACTCCATGCATGCAAAAGCAACTTGGTGGGGATGGAGCATGTTCTCTCCTGTAGCAGCTACTGGCAGTGGTGGTGGTGTGGGGAGGTGGTGAGTTGAGGTATGGAGCAGCTGAGGTATGGAGCAGCCCCAGCCTGCAGCAGAGAGTGGGCCAGGCCTGGGTAGGGGTAGCTCCAAGAGCATGGCAGCAACTCAGAAGGTTGTAGCCTTCCTTGAGGCTAGTACTCCTCAACCAAGAATGTGGAGTTGTGTCTCCCAGAACTGGTTATGTCTGGGTGCCCTGTGAAGTATGCATGCTTTGCTGGACTATCCTAGGCTGGAGGCTCAAGGTGCAGGATTGCTCTAGCCCGTCCCTATCTAGGCTGATGGCTCTACCTAAGTCCACCAGCTGGTACTCCAGTTGCAAAGTGGCACCTGGTATGGTAGATGTCTCAGGAACACAGGGCAATGTCTCCTGGTGTGGGAGGGACCTAAGTGTACCCTGCAAAATTTCCATACTTCATGGAATAAATCAGGGTGAGAGGTTCAGAGCACAGGACAGGTTGCAGAGGTTTACAGGCTCTACCCAAGTCTGGTAGGCTGGCATTTCCACAATCTTTTAAAGTGGTGTCCAGCATGTGCCTAGCTCTTTCCACCTATGTACTTGGATGGGCCAGGGGATGCCCCACAAGGGTTGAGCTCTCCACTAAATTATGCAAGGGCAGCTCTGGGCTCATCTGGAGAAAGGTTTACCCTTTGTTTCTTTTGTAGATCCAATGTTCAATAATTTTCTGTTTTACACCTTGGTGTCTAACTGCCTACTCAACTGGTGAACGCGCCTGCCTTTCCATACCACCTTTCTTTCTTTATAGCGAGGTACCTGAGGTTCTTTTTCAGATCCAAAGATGCAGGAATACAATGGGTATCTAATCCATCACCATCTCATGTTTCTCAAAGTATTTTAGACCTTCCTATGATTCCAATCCTCGACTTTCCCATTAAGAGTTCCTAGAATAGATTTCCTACTCTAACTCCACACTATTCATCCAGTCTCCTAAGCTTAAGATGTTAGGCTGATGTTAGATTTCTACTTTTCTTCTACCTCTCCAAGTTACCAAATCTGGAGACTCTGTTTTTTCCCTCCCCCCAGAACCACCATCCTAGTCAAGGTGGCCAAAGCCCTCAACCCCTCAAGCCTGGATTTCTAATTTTGCTTCTAATTTGACTTCCAACTTTATTTCTTTTATACATAAGACACTAGCTTTTATCACCTTGTGTTTTCATATTACTGGCTTTCTATTGCCCTGGACATAGCTACTTACCTTGTAATATTCTAACAGTCATTTCCTTCATAATCTACCTTCATTTCCCACTTTAGTAAAAATGGTTTCCAGCTGATTCACATATCCTCTGCCCCCATTTATGATCTTGTAGCAATTGAAATGTATGCCACTCCTAGCTCTATTAGGTACATTTTATTCATTATGTGAGGCCAACCGAAGCCTCTCACATTTCATTACCTGCTCACCCTGCTCTCTCCTTTCTAAATGGGCTTCTTTCTTGGCATTTATTCAGTGCTGTACTCTTTACAGTCTAGCATTATGTCAAAACTCAGTGTTATTGTATATAACAGTGAATTCTTTAGTATTCTCTTTAAAAGCAGACTATACTTTATGCTTTCTGTTGACCTTAGAGCATCTATATAGTAGTAGTTATTGAATAAGTCCCATGCTATAACTACTAGGAAGTTCCAAAATTTTAAACCTGAATTTGTATACTCTTAAGACAGCATTCAGCAAACATTTGCTGTAAAGAGCTGGATAGTAATATATTTTTGCAGACCACATAAGGTCTCTGTCACATTTTCTTCTATTATTCACCTTTTAGAAGGTAAAAATCACCCTTAGCTTGAGGGTTATACATACACAAATTGTGGCCTGGATCTAGTCTACAGGCCATAGTTTGCTGACCTCTGCCTTATCTAATGAGCAATTTGCTATCTTCCAAAGAGTAACAATAGTTAAGCACATTTATCAACATTTAACTTTACAAAATTTTTCTAATATTTAATTTTTAAAATGCCTTTTAAGGTCCAACATAAAACAAGTAACACCTGCATTCTTACCAGCTCTTTCAGACTTTTCTTTCTGTTCCCGTAATTCCTCTCCCTGGGTAGTCATCTGTTTGATGTGACTACGAAGTTGAGCGATTTCTTCTTCTTTCAATTCCAGGGTTTCATGCATCTGACGTTTTGTCTCTGTTATTACCATTCCCTGAACAAAAATGCGAATTCTAAAGCATTTGTATGAAAAAACTGCATCATGAATAGACAGAACAGCTCAAAATTAATAAAAGGAAGTCAAAAGTACTGTATAAGAATTTCTTCAGTATTCACAAATTGAAGTCTGTATTCTGCTCTATTTACCTGACAAAGTATCAGGATATTTTTTATGAAAATTATTTTACTACTAAGTTTAATCCTTTAAGCATTAACACATGTTTTAGTTAAAAGATTTATTTTAAAACCTTTATATAAATGTGCTATAATTTTCTTGGTCTTAACAAGCAGTTACAATTAACAAAATACAGCCTTTTGAACTTGCCTCAGAACCATAATGAGCTATAATTATTGATCTGTGCTATGAGATGCAGATAATCCCCCAAACCGCTAAGAATATAAGGTGCCTACTGCCACAGTGGATGGAGAAAGACTGTAGCACAGATCTGCCTGGTTTTTCTTTTCTTTTGTGACTGTCTCTGGTTCCACTACCACCCTTTTTATCAGTAAGTAAGGCACTCCCCAGTCCTTCAATTTGCTAATTACTTCTGTTTCCTCTCTGTGGATAATCTATACTGGAAAAGGAGGTCACTAGAGCAAAAAAAGATAAATTATTAGATATTAAATCAATCATTTGAAACTAACAAAAAAAACAGGGTAATTGAACTTCTCTACTGAAAAGTTGTTCAGACTTTGTAACAACTACTTTATGGTCTTCAGAAGATTATTACTTTACCTGCATGATCTCCTGACCCCTGCTTTAGAGTATGACTATTCCAGATAGCTAATATTAATAGACAATACCAGGTAAATGGAAAATTGTTAATCAGAAATTTCAAAATAAAATTGTGGGCCTTTATTTTTTTTCAAAAATCAAATCACAATGGGGAAAAAAAAACAGAGAGAAAGTATAAATGACCCTATAGATTAAAAGAAGTATTAAGAGTGATATCAATCCACTGTAATGAAAGACCTTTGTTTGGATCTTGATTCATAAAAGGAAAAAAAAACTTTATATGATATTATAGGGAAAATTTGAAACTTGGCTAAATATCAGATCATATTAAGGAATTATTATTAAATTGCTAGGTGTCATATTGTGGTTATACTTTTGTAAAATCAAGAAGAGTGCTTTGTTTTAAAGATATTTTAAAATACTGTACCTACAAACTAGCATAATAAAGAAAACAATAAATGGTGTAGAACAAACTGGGAGTTCCTGTAAAAAATTCACCCATGAATTTTTCAGTTGTCTCTATAACTATAGCTGCTGCTCCAACTCCAAAGTGCTGAGGGTAAATATCATCCCTTTCTCAATCCTCCTTATCATACGCACTCATTCTAAAATCCACTTGTAGAAGTTTTTGTTTATGTTAATATAGATATTTTCATTTTACTTTTCAGGCAACTTATCTGGAATAGTCTGTTTGCATAGTATTTGGAAGAACATATAGAAACCATTCACATTTAGAATACCTTAAGCTATACATAATGTAGTTTTTCTATGAAAAAGTAGATATATTCAACAAACATGAATTTCCTTTAAAACTGTTAGTATAATAAGTAAGTTAAAATGCTGAGTGGGATCAAGAAATCACACAGAGAAATGGGTCACATGATAGAAAACAAATGTTAATAGTTACATAAACCTAGAAATTAAAAAGATTTTTCATGGAAGCAGTTGTAGTAATCATGTCTCCAACTGCTTTCAAAAGTGAATTTAGAAGCCCCTTGACAAATTTTAACATCGTAAGTTTTGTTATTTTACCTTATCTTGTTCAAGCTGTTCAATTAAGTTCTTTGCATCACGCAACTGTGTGATAAGTTTAGTCTTCTCAGCCATATGAAGCTCCTAAAAAAATTTTAAAAATTCATTTCCATGTCTAAATATGCTTCTCTTCATATGAGAACTCCACATAGCTTATCTAATCTAGATACATCTTATAGTCCAGAAAGAGAAAATTAAACAGGAAATCTCAGATATATAGCAAATGCTATGAAGCCCAGGGCATGTGGGTGCCCAAAGACACACTCTCCACCCTATGGAAAATGAAGAAGACTTCCTAGAGGAAGTGCAGGCCACACTGGAGCCTGTAGATCTAGCTTTACAGGATAAAACAGGACAAAACTCTTTTACCTTCATCTTTTCTAGTTCTTGAAGCCTCTCATCTAGTTGTTCTTGCAGTGCTTCTTTTTCACTGGTCAGTAGTGTACATTGTTCCTTATGTGACTGAATTGTTTCCTTATAACGCTGAAGAAGATTCTCTTGACGCTTAACTCTTTGCCAAAGTGTTTCCAATGTTTTAGCTGAAACAGCATCTCCTACTAACAGTAAACAGCATAAGCAGGGGCATTAGTAAGGAATATAAGGGAACTCTAGGAACAGTTAGTCTGTTAGTAAACAGGAGTATGTCTATTGAATTCCTTTTTTTTAGTGCTAGGAACTGAGCAGATGCTAAGCAGATAGATGGTCCCTCACTAAGCTACACCCCCAGACCTGGGAATGTATTCTTCTACTGAAACTCTGTTATCCTCTGGGCTAGAGCAAGAAGAGAGGGGACAACACTGATTAGCTAATAAGATGCCAAACTTCTGAACCTCTACTCTTAGTTTGTATCAAAACAATATTTATCTGAAAATGCTGAGAAGTGTATTCACCTCTTTTGTGGTTCAACTCTATCCTGCAACAGCATAGAAGTGAACTAACATTAAACTGGATCCACCCTCTTTCTATTATTAGAAAATTATGGTGTCTTAGTGCCCATCTCCGAAAGATTAGTAACTATTCTTTCCAACCACATTCTAACGTTTTCCTGACAGAAGTGCTGATAAATACAGCTTTCTGCATCTCCTTACATTTGTGAGTGAAACTTTCACATTCCAGAATTTGAGATTCCTTGTAGGTTGAATACTTAAGATAGCTAGCTGCTCAGCAACTTGTTCTTCTTCTAATTAGACCAAAAGTTACATGTCTTTTTTTGAGAGAAAAGACTAGGGTATAAGTCAGGTGTGGCAGGACATGCCAGTGATACCAGCATTCTGGAAGCTAAGGTAAGAAGATCATGAATTCGAGGCCATCTAGGGCTGACAAGTTAGACCTTGTGCCAAAAAACCCCAAAAAACCAAACACTGAAAAAAACTCAAAAAACAAAAATACAAAACAAAACAAAAGCAACCTAGGAAATAAAAAGTGGAAATTCTATTGAATATGCACCTAAAATATTCAAAAAACAGGAAGTGCAAAAATTAAGCTTTAAGGTAAAATCCACTACATCTCTTCTAGCTGAAACAGGAAAAATATAGGCATGTTTAAATATAGAAATACGTAAGCATTGTTATTCAAAAACTAAAGTGTCCAAACAATTATGAATAGAGTATGTATTAACATAACATAATAACAGCACTAAAGTGCTCTTATGAAATCTAGTTACTACTATGAATAAAGCAGTATACATAATTAGTGACTTTTAATTGTAATGAAAATGTGGGACTACTTATAGATATGCAACTTTCAACTCTTAAAAAAAATTACTTTCTCCTGAAAGTAAAGACAAAAAAAACCTCAAAAAGCAAAACAAAAAAAAAACCACTTGCATTTTTGTGGAAATGTTAGGATCAAGGGTACTTTACTTTGATCTCAGCACAATTCTATCAGCTCATATCCTAGAATCTCTTGACATTCTCCTCTAGTGTTTAAATTAATCTTTTGACAAAAGGAAGCTTACCTACTGGCTCTACATCATCCTCTGTGTGTTCTTCTTTACGGTCAATTTCGGCCTGTGCTTCCATCTGAGAGAGTGGTTTTTGTATATCAACATTCAATGGGCCATTTTGTAATCGTTGTTTCAGTAGAGAAACCTAAAAAAAAAAACCAAAAAAAAAAAAAAAACCCCAAAAACTTCATTAGAGAAAAAAGCGTAGTAATAATACTTTTTACTACAGTTGGTAAGGGAATAAAAAAGCTTATTCCCAATATAAGTGGTTTTTATATGTGATATTATCAGTGGCATTTTAATTAGTCAAAATTTATACTTAAAATAAATTGAGGAAAAGCTAAGAGTTTGAAAAATAGGCCTTAAAAACTGGAATTCCTTAGGTATCCCATTAAAACTTTTCTTTATGTTTTTCTTTATGAAACAATTCCATAGTTTGTCTTAAGAGTTTTACCTGAGTTTGGAGAACACTGATATACTGATCTTTTCTCCTCTAAAGATGCATCAAATTCCTCTTGGAGATGTTTTTTCGCTTGATGATCCATTTGGAGCTCCTAAACATAAAAGATTTCAGTCAGTTCTCAGTATAAAAAAATACAAACTTAAAGTTTTTAAAGTTTAAAAGCATGATCAGCCCAGAATTGCCTACTTCTGAACATAAGGTATCAGAAATAATAATCAGCATTTAAGACATTAATATTACTTAAAACATTAACATGAATAAATAATTATGCTCCTCAAAGAGTATGATTGATGATAATCTGGGGGGAAAAGAAGACTCCAATAAAGTACATGGAGACATTATATTGTTTTGGGTTATAGTCACTTTAATCTAAAACTAAATTGTATTACACCAAACAGAGCGCCAATAGTCTTCCTCCTCTTCCCAATGCATGAAAGCATCTAACAGTCAAAATCACAAGGTTTCTCATCTGTAAAATGCAGAGAAAGATCTAGTTGATCACTAAACAAAACTTCTAGTTTCTGAGATTGATTAAATTGATGTTTTCTTCAGGTCATTACCAAGTTTTTCTAAGAAAATTCTAAGATGTTTTCTACTAGCTACAATCATCACCACCTCAACTGAGGTACTGCTTTCTATGACTTCCTCCTGGCTATCTTCCTCATTGTCTCTTATAGATTCCATCTATTCCTTGAGGCTCAGTTTTGTGTGCTTGGTGTTTCTCCCTTACACTCACTCCCTAGAATACTAGCGATCAATACCTATAACATACTAGGTAGCCCACCCAGTATTAGACTGCTTTGTTGTTCTAGGATTCCTATCTCATTAATTCCTTAAACTCAAAATATTCAATGTCACATCTTATTAGCTTTATTGATCAATGCATATGATCAAATTTTTTTTATTACTTTCTCTACAATGTTTAGGTTCTATCTTTTTCTAAAACTGTAACTAAATCCCAGAGCTTTCTACAGAGATTTCTTAACTCAAGTCTTCCTCCAATTTAATCCATCACTCAGAGATGTGCTGCAATAATTTTCTTTAAACAATATTTTCAGACTGGAGGTGTGGTTCAAGTGGTAGAACGCCTGCTTTGCAAGCACAAAGCCCTGAGTTTAAACCCCAGTCCCACCAAAAAAAAAAAAAGGTAAAACAAGTATTTCAGGGTTGGTAGAGTGTCTCAAATAGTAGAGTGCCTGCCTACCAAGTCTAGCAAGCATAAGAACCTGAGTTCAAACCCCAGTCCTGCCAAAAAAAAAAAAAAAAAAAAGAGAAATGGACATTTTAGGCTGATAGAGTGGCTCAAGTAGTAAAGTGCTTGCCTAGCAAGCTTGAAGCCCAGAGTTCAAACCCCAGTACCACCACTTAAAAAAAAAAAATTGAAGGATGTGCAGCAGGACTCACACACACAAAAAAGTATTCTTGTTTCTCTAGATATAGTCCCATTATAAAAATGTTCAACACATGATACCTGACCTATATTGTACACTCTGAATTTCAAATATGGCTGCTCTCCATTACTATGTATATCTTATCATTAACCACTTAAAATTTGGATATTTAATTTCTTACCTCAAAGAGAATAAAACTATTGTTAGTCCCCAAAATGCAAGATAATGAGCAAAAAAATACCACGGGCTTCTCTAGGGAAAGCAAAGGTGCTTTTAGCTCATAAAAGCACCTTCTGGCAATATAAAGAGAAAAAAAAGATGCCCTTTCTATTATTTTTTCACTTCCCCTGACATCCTCATTGCACACCCCCCAAATCTCAAGCAAAGCTGTTCAATAGGAAGGGGCAACAGCCATTGCCACACAGCCCAGCATAACAACCCTAAGAAGCAGCAGAGACCTAGAGAAAGCCCCTATCAAAAGTGTCAGCATGTGAATTAGAAATCAGATGAAAGATCCCAAAACATTCATTGAATTTAGAAGAAATCCACTGTTCTCCATAAAGAGGAAGAAATATAGACTATATATATATTTATTATATATATTATATGTATGTATTTATATATTTTTACTTTTAAAAATTCTTTTGTTTTTAATTTGTTATCTATCTTCCTCTTCCATTCTGTCCTAATTTCAATTTGCTTAGCACTCTCTTGTACAATTTTCCTTTCTCTCTCCCAATCTTTTTTGTCTCTTTTCATCTTTTCTCTCTTCTCCTTACCTTCCTCTCTTCTCCCTTCCTTTACCCCCACACTCACCACACACAAATAGTCTATTATATCAACTTTATACATTACCCCCATCCTTCCTATCCCTCTGCAATCCTTGACAATAGCACCCTCACCCACAACAGCTGAACTACACTTTTACATTAGGGCCTTATTACCCTGTAGCCCCCACACCTAATACTTCTTCTCTCCATTGCCTAACCCCGACTTCCTGTACCCTCTTCTAGCACCATCTTTTTAATTACTTAAGTATCAATTGCTATACAAACAACTGTTATTTCCCCAATACCGTTTATAGATAATATCACCAAGGGTTTTATATATAGATATAGATATATAATATATATTATATAAATAACTGCTTTTGCATTGAATCTGTGAATTTGTTATTGATAAGTTACATCCAGGTCAGTTAACAGAAATATTACAACAACCTAACTGACAACTAAGCTAGTCAGAGCATAGAAATTAAGTCAAGGGAAAGATAACAGGTGGTTAAAACCCCCAACTAACTAACAACACATGAGGAGTAAAGCATAAAATAAAAACATGGGAAGAAAAAGAAGGCAGGGGAATATGACTCCTCAAAAGATTAACAATGACATAATAGAGGATTTGGTGGAAAGTAAAGAGTATGGCAGAAGAATAATGATAAGAATGTTCATTGAGCTCAAAGAGGAGCTAAATGAGGACATACAAAAACAACTCAATAAATCCCAAGAACATGGATTAAAAACTTGAGAAGACACAAAAACAACTGAATCAACTCAAATAGGATTCCAACAAACTCCTAACAACAAACTAAGGAGATTATTAAAAAAAAAAAAGGTAAATGAAATAAAGAACACAATGCAATATATGAGCAAAGAATTTAACAAAGATATGGAAAGTCTCAAAAAAAATCGAACAGGAATCTTAGAAATAAAAAGGTCCTTAAGTCAAATAAAAAATACAGTTGAAAGTTACTCCAGCAGACTAGATCAGGTGGAAGACAGAATTTCAGGGCTGTAATACAAAATAGATATTAAAGAAAAACCAGAAGAATTAGGTAAAAGACACAAGAGCTACAAAAGAAATATGCAAGAACTCTGTGACTCCATCAAAAGAACAAACCTGTGAATCATAGGCATTGAAGAAAGAGAAGAGGTACAAGCCAAAGGTATAGGTAATATATTCAACAAAAGAGTAGAAGAAAATTTCCCAAAGCTCAGGGAGGAGATGCCCATTCAGGTACAGGAAGCCTCCAGGACACCAAATAGACTTGACCAAAATAGAACCTCTCCACGGAGTATTAGAGTTAAAACAATTAGCACAGAGAACAGTAAAAGAATATTGAAGGTTGTAAGAAAGAAAAATGAAATAACTTGGTAAATCCTGGAAAATAACAGATTTCTCAACAGAAGCCTTAAAAGCAAGAAGGGTATGGAGTGAGGTATTTCAAATAATGAAAGAAAACAATTTCAGTCCTAGGATACTCTACATAACAAAGCTATCATTCAAAATTGAGGGAGAAATAAGAATTTTTATGATAGACAGAAACTAAAACAATACAAGACCATTAAACTACCACTACAGAAGATTCTGAAAGAAATCCTATACATAAAAGATGAAAACAAACATAACCATGAAAGGATGGGAGTTACCAAAGCTCAAAAGAAAAGCAGACAAGTAATCAAAATAGCATGGAATTAGTTGCAAACACACAGTCTTACACAAAAACAACTTAATAGCAAGACTCACCATATAGCCCTCAATATTAACACTGAATGTTAATGGCCAAAAGACACCCATTGGCAAACTGGATTAAAAAGGAAGATATGACAATCTGTTGTTTACAAGCAACCCATCTTACAGACAGAAACAAACATTGTCTTAGGGTGAAAGGGTACAAAGATTTACCAAGCTAATGGCTGTGAAAACAGGGAGCAACAGCAATACTTACATCAGATAAAGTAGATTTCAAATCTAAATTAGTCAGAAGAAGCAAAGAAGGTCAATTTATACTAGTAAAGGAGCAATACATTAAGAGGAAGTAACAATTCTTCACTCAAATTCATTAAACATACAAACTGGTCTTAAAAACACAGATAGATACTAACACAGTGGTGGTGGAAGACTTCAATACTATTTTATCACCAATAGATGGGTGAAAAAAATGAAAAGAAGAAACTCTGGCATTGAATGACACCATAGATCGAATGGACCTGACAGACGTCTACACAGTATTCCATTCTGCAACAGCACAGTATACATTCTTCATAGCAGCAAATTAAAATTTCTCTAAATTAAGACCATATTTTAGGTCACAAAGCAAGTCTTAACAAATACAAGAAAAGTGAAATAACCACCTGCATACTGTCTGACCACAATGCAATAAAACTAGACCTCAAACAAAAGTAACAGAAAATATTCAAAGACCTGGAGACTACATAACACATTGCTTCATCATTAGAGGGTCATCGAAGAAATAAGGGAAGAAATAAAAAAGTTCCTGGAATTTAATTAGCATGAAAGCACAATCTATCAGAACCGATGGGACACAAAAAAAGTAGTCCTAAGGGGAAAGTTTATAGCCATGAATGCATACATTAAAAGCACAGAAAGATCTCAAATAAATGACCTAATGCTACATCTCCAACTTCTAGAAAAAACAAGAACAAACTAAACCCAAAACTACCAGGAGAGAAATAACAAAAATACGGTCTGAAATCAACAAAACAGAGACCAGAAAAACCATACAAAGAATCAGTAAAAAAAAAAACTAGCTGGTTCTTTGAAAAGACAAATAAGACTTGCAAACCTGACTAAAATGAGGAGGGAAAAGACCCAAATTAATAACATTAGAAATGAAAATGGGGAGATAACAAATACTAAGGAAATCCAGGGAATCATTACAAACTATTTTGAAAACCTATATTCAAAAAAATTGGAAAACCTGTAAGAAATTGAAAAATTTCTAGACAAATATGACCACACAAAATTGACCCAAGTAGATATTAATCATGGAAACATATATGTAACAAGCTATGAAACTGAAGCAGCAATAAAGAGTCTCCCCAAAAAAGAAAAGTTTAGGACCCAAAGGATTCACTCCTGAATTGTACCAGACCTTTAAAGAACTAATACCAACATACCTTAAACTGTTGCAGGAAATAGAAAGGGAAGGAACACTGCAAAACTCATTCTATGAAGCCTGTATTACATTCATCCCCAAATTGGACAAGGACACACACAAAAAGAGAGAATTGCAGGCCAATCCCTTTAATGAACACAGATGCAAAAACCCTCAATAAAATACTGGAAAACAGAATTCAACATCGTATCAAAAAGATCATACACTATGATCAACTAGGTTTGATACTAGGGATGGTTCGATATATGCAAATCTTTACATGTAATACAGCACATAAACAGAGGCAAAGACAAAAAACACTTGGTCATCTCAATAGATGAAGAAAAAGCTTCAAGAAAATTCGACATCTCTTAATGATAAAAGCTCTGATAAAACCAGGAATAGAAGGAATGTATCTCAACATAGTTAAGGCGATATATGACAAGTGTATAGCTAATATCAAATGGGGAAAAACCAAAACCATGTCCTTAAAAGTCTGGATCAAGACAAGAGTATCTACCCTCTCCACTACTCTTATTCAACATAGTCTTGGAATTCCTAGCCAGAGCAATAAGACAGGAAGAAGAAATAAAAGGGATACAAATTGTAAATGAAGAAGTCCAACTATCCCTATCTGCACATGACATGATCATATATCTAAAAGTCCTGAAAAACTCTGCCAAAAAACTCCTGGGTATCATAAACAGCTTCAGCAAAGTAGCAGGATACAAAGTCGATTTACAAAAATCAGTAACCTTTCTATATAGCAACAATGAACAGACTGAGACAGAATATACAAAATAATTCCATTTGCAAGAGCCTCAAAAAAAAAAACACTAATAACTGGTAGAATTGCTAATATGAAAATGGCTATGTTAGTAAAAGCAATCTACATGTTCGATGCAATCCCCACAAAAATTCCAAAGACATTCATCAACAGAGACTGAAAAATCAATACTACAGTTCATTTGGAAGCATAAAAGACTGACAATAGGCAAGGCAATACTGAGTAAAAAGAGCAATGCTGGAGGTATCACAGTACCTGACTTCAAACTATACTTCAGAGCCATGGAATAAAAACAGCATGGCAATGGCACAAAACAACATGAAGACCATTGAAACAGAATAGAAGTTCCAGATATGAATCTGCACAGCTATGTCTACCTTAATTTATGACACAGTTGACAAAACATACAATGGAGAAAAGACAGCTTGTTCAACAAATGTTACTGGTAATACTGGATATCTGCATGCAGAAAACTTTTAGACCCATGTCTTTCACTCTGTACAAGTATCAACTCAAAGTAGATTAAGGACCTTAATATAAGACCAGAAACTTTGAACCTAATGCAAGAAAAAGCAGGCAATAAAATGAAATAAAAAGGCATTGGCAATGTCTTCCTAAATAGATCGCCAATGGCTCGGCAACTAAGATAAAGGATTGACAAATGTGACTACATGAAATAAAAAGCTTCTGCACAACAAAAGAAACAGTCACCAAATTGAAAGGGCAGCCCACAGAAAGGGAGAAAATCTTGGCCAGCTATACATCTGACAAAGTCTTAATAATCAGATTATACAGATAGCTCAAAACGCTAAACTCCCCAAAAATCAATGACTCAATGAAGAAATGGGCAAATGAACTGAACAGAGCTTTTTCAAAGGAAGAAGTCCAAATGGCCAAAATACACATGAAGAAATGCTCAACATCTTTGGCCATAAAGGAAATGCAAATCAAAACCATGTTAAGATTCCATCTCATTCCTGTTAGTGTGGCTATCATCAAGAACACAAACAACAACATATATTACAGGTGGTAACGTAAAGTAGTACAACCACTATGGAAAAACAGTATGGAGTCTCCTCAAAAAACTAAAAATAGATAATCCAGCAATTCTACTCCTGGGGATATACCCAAAGGAATGTAGGCAGGTTACAATAAAGACATCTGCACACCCATGTTTATTGCAGCATTATTATTCACGATAGCTAACCTGTGAAAACAGCTGAGATGCCCCACAACCAATGAATGGATTAAGAAAATGTATTTATATACAATGGAATTATATTCAGCCATAAAAAAGAAAGAAATTTTTTCCTTTGCAGGCAAATGGATGGAAATGGAGAACATCACCTTAATTGAAGTTAGCCAGATAAGAAGACCAAAAGTTCTCTCACATGGAATATAGACCTAATACAAGTACAGCAAAATTACAAAACACAGGTCATGCTAAGGGGCGGTCACATATGAGAGGGAGGGTAAAAGAAGGACGTTATAAAGGTGAATATGGTTGTTGTACTCTTGAAATAAGAATGAATAGAACTTTTAAGCCAGTTGAAATCACCATAAGAAGGGGACTAAGGTAGAAAGAAGAAAAACAGGAGATGAACCATTTTGGGTTACAATACATATGTATTGTAACCCGATGTTTACATTGAAATGTCACAAAGAAACTCCCTGTATAACTATCTTAAGCAAAGATAAATGTAAATTTATTTTTCTTTTACAAAGTTGGAGAACTAGAAGGTAGAACAGGTCCCTGGGGGTTTGATATCACTAGGAGGGGGCAGGATGTGGAGAATGGGGATATGAAGGTGAATATAGTACAAACACAGTATACACATGTATGTAAGTGGAAAAGGATACCTGTTGAAACAACTACAGGAATGGTGGAAGTGAGGGATAAAAGATAATGATGGAGTGGGTAAATTCAACTATGATATATTTGGTATATTGTGAGAACTTTTGTAAATGCCACAATGTACACCCACCCAGCACAACAATAAAATTAAAAAAAAAAAAAAAAAAG